TGCCGCTCGCGTTGCGCCGCCGCCGCGCGCGCCAGCCGCGCAGCAATCGCCGCGAGCAGCTGCTCGCGAGAGAGCAACTGCGGCGCGCAGCCGCGCGGCGCGCGCGCGCGCGGCGTCTCGCCGCGCTCGCATTGGGCTAGCGCGCTGTAGAACACCGCGTCAACTCCGCGCTGCGCGAAGAACGCGTGCCAGCAGTCGGCCTGGTACGGCGTCAGAAAGTCGGCCTTGTTGAGCACTAGCAGGTGCACCTTGTGCTGCCGCTCGACCGTCTGGCGAAACGCGTCGCTGTAAAAGAGCAGCGGGTTCCGCGCGTCGACCACTTGCAGCACCACGCTCGACAGGTTCACCGCCTTCCACAGCTGCTGCCACAGCTTGCAGTTCTTCTCGAACGGCGCGAGCGCCGCGCCGCGCAGGCCCTCGCGGTTCGCGATCTGGTTGTCCACCAGCTGCACGTAGCTGCGCCACTCGTAGAAGAAGCGGTTCGTCAGCTCCGCGTAGCCTGCACGGTTCACAAAACAGCCCCACCACGAAGGCTGGAACGCGAAGAACGAAAACAGCGCGTCGCGCACGCACGCGGAGTCGTCCGCGCGCTGCGCTTCCGCCACGGCTTCTGGCTCCGCCGCGGCTCTGTTGCGCCAAGCGGCGCGCGCCATCTGCGGCGGCACGCTGTACTGCGCGCTGAACGCCGACTGCGGCGCTGCAGCGCTCGGCGGCGCGGCGAAGCTTGCATCACTAGGCGCATCGCTGGGCGCGTCGCTTGCGAGGCCGTCGCGCAGTAACTCGCTGTTGTCTGCTCCGCTGCTGTCAGCTTCGCTGCTGTCAGCTTCGCTGCAAATCTGATCGTTGCTGTGAGCATCGCTGCAGATCTGCTCGCAACGTGACTCGCCCGACTCGCTTTGCCACGAGCCGCGGCTCGCCGCGCCGCGGCTCGCCGCGCAATTCACACTGTCCGGTTTGGACTTTGCATTGATTTGCGCGCCAGACTGTGGCGGCCCCGCTGCCGCACCGGCTCGGCCGCAGCTCGCGACCAGAAAGCGCAGCAGATTGCAATCGTCTAAAACCAGCGCCGCGCCTTCCGCCGCGTCCTGCTCCAACATGCCTCGAGAGTCCGCGAGCGCGCGTTGCGCGAACCGCTGCAGCAGCTCCGCTGACACTCGCACGCGCTCTGCGCTGCCGTAGTGCTCGCGGAACACCGAGAAGTAGCGCTCGAACTCTGTTGCAAAGTTCGCTTTTTCGGCATCTGTCCGGAACAGCGTCATCAGTCGTATCTGCTCGCGCTGCGTGACGCAGCACGCGCCGGTCTCGAGCTGCGGCACGCAGAGCACCCGGTTCGCCAACACGTCGAACACTGAACCGTCGCTGCGGTAGATCTGAATCGCCGGCTGAAGATCCGCGCCCGCCTTCGGACCGTATAACAGAAAATCGTCGACAGCGTCCACTTCCAGCTGCGTCTCAGTCCGGACCTCTTCAAAAGTCGGACGCGAGTCGGTTTGACGGCTGCAAGGCAACAGCTCCATCAGCTTCTTCGTTTCGTTCAGCACTTTTATCGGCGCGTCGCTCTGCGCTTTGCACAAAAACGGCGGATAAGCCGCCTTCTTCTTGCTGCTGCTGCGAGCGACTTTGCGCGCCATCTGTCGCGCCGAAAAATGCTGCGGAGCCGATTAGAACCCCCTTTAGAGATTCAGAAGACAAAACAGAGCTACAGAGCGCTAAAAATCACATAATGCAAAATTCCGTATTTCGACCTACTTTCTTTGCGATATGAAACTTCCTGCGAACAAATTTCGACAGAATTTCAGCCGCCTGCACGCGTGTGACGGAGTCCCAACCCACTGCCGAAGCATGAAGTGTTGCATCGGGGGCATCAGTTTTTTCACCGGTGTCACAACCGGTTTGGGCCTCATGGCTTTAATACAGCGCGTCAGACGTAAACCGGTGAAAGAGAATACGGACAAGGAAGCGGAGAAAGAATAGCTGTTTTAAGCACCCAGCGTACGGCGCAACGCGTTCCTCGTCTGGCTCTGCCTAACTGTTCACTCACTTCGAAACCCGCACCTCCAGCTCAGCTGCTCCGTGCAACAGAAGTTTTTTTAGATTGTGTAATACCTGGACCGGTTCGATCGCCCCTCGGCAGCAAGACTCGTCTTGCAGCCCAAGCGCCTAAGTATTTTTTATGAACAACGTTACTAAATAACGCGGCAAGGTGCGATCACCGCGCTGAGCTCTTGGCGCGCTCAGCGCACGCGGCTACGCAACGGCAGATCCGCGAAGCGGAGGCGACGCGGAGGCGACGCGGAGGCGACGCGGAGGCGACGCGGTGCTCGCACACCAGCCACGGAGCTCGCGTTGCACAAAACTAGCCCTCCTCACTTTTTGATGGCAACAACGAGGAAGACAATTAAAATCAGCAACCCCCCGAGCACAGCCACGATCACGGCAACGTACGTGGTCTTCTTCATTGCTAGCGAAATTGTTCCGATTTTTGCTGCCAGCTTGTTCCAATCGATCAGCGTGCGGTTCTCCGCGACGGGCTCTAAAAATGGGTTGCGGTTCGGCTCGTCGCGACCGCGGCCCACCGGCTCAGCTTTCGCAAGCACCATCGAAACCAACGTGAACGAACAGTGCAACTCGGCAACGAGGTTCTTCTCGTGGTCGTAGCAAGGAATCGCTATGTTTCCAGAGTCCAGTACGTCTTTGTACTTCAAATACCGCGCTAACTCGAAGTGCCGCGAAAGATTGTACACTGACTCGCACGCGACAACGCCACCCATCCCTAACACGTTCTTAGAGTACAATTTCACGTATATGTGCGTCTTCGACGTAGGAATCTCTATAGCGAATACGTACCGCCAGTTGAACTTCGCCACGCCACGGCTCACGTTGTAGTGAGTGTCGCTGTATTGCTCGTCTGCGTTGTCCACGCGCGCCTCCGTGGCGATACCGATTTGCAGATGCGCTAGGTCGGTAATTTTCAGCTTGTCCACCGTGTACAGGCAAAGTCGCAGTTCGAACTGCACCGATTTTGCACTCGACAGTTGGTGCACCGGCACGACGCTGCTTTGCTCGACTTTCAGCAGTTCCAGCCACAGCCGCGCTCTCCGCGAGCCAGCAGGCTCGTCACCGTCTATCAGCGGCCGAACCTCGATCGGCACGTCGCTGTCCTGCATCAGCTTGTGGTAGTACGCGCACTGCCAGCGTTCTTCGATATCAATGAAAGTCGCCCCTTCTTCAATTTCGCGACTGCCTCGGCGCCGCAGCAAAGACAACTTCACGATCGGACACACTCCGATGTCTACCGTTATGCGCAGCAGACAGTTGAAAAATGCCGAGCGCGAGCCGGAGCTTACCGCGTTCACGGCTTCGTCCGAAGCCAGACTCAGTTTGCAGAAGTAGACTTCGTCGTCGCTTTTCGTCTGTTCGACGCCTTCGAAGTTCAGCATGTAAAGCCGGACCTCGACGCGCGTGCCCGGCGCTGTCTTTGCGACCGAAGCTGCCGACGCTGCCTCGTGCTCCGACGTTGCGAGCCTGTACAAAATCTTGCCGACTCTGCGCGGATAACAGTTCGGCACCGCTTTGTACAAATACTGGTACGGCGCGGCGCTACTGCGGAAGTCGGGCAGGTCTTCCAACGGGCAAAGTACGCTGCCGCGCAACTCATCTGCGAAGTACTCGACGGGGTCTGAGTTGTACAAACTAAAGCCAAGGTCCTGCACGCAGTAGCCAAGAAGGTGCGTGTTTTTGTCAACATAGTGTTGCACGGATACCTCGAGACTCGCGTCGGTTGCCGTTTTCATCTCGCGCTGCTCGACTACGGGCATGCTGTGCAGCAGCTTTTTGTCGTACAAGTACAGCGTGTCGCGTTCTTCTTGAACCTTACGCTGCCTGACGTAAACTTTGTTGCGCGGCTCAGTGCGCTGCACATAGGAAAATTGGTCGAGCAGTGCCAACCGCTTTGACGCGTTTGAAGCGCCCGTAGCTGGAGCGTTTTCCTGCGCAGCAAGAGCTGGCTGCGCGGTAAACTGGTCGGTAACTTCGTCGCGCGTTGAAAACTTGCGGTTGCCCGCTCCAGCGGTGTGCCACGGCAGCCGCTCCGTTAGCGGTATGTACGTAAAGTACGACGCGCTTCCGCAGACAATCGTCAGCTCGAAAAACGTCCAGTTGTACCAGCGCTTCGGCGCATCTACGCACATTTGTATGCGCTCCGCGAAGTCGTGTGTTAGCCGCTTGTTTGCATTTGTGCCAAGCACGTTCGTTTCGAACGTTGGTTCTCCGCCGAAAACTGTACTGCGGTCGTACACGAGTTGTAGCTTTTCAAAAGAATCCGCTTGATAAAGTTGCAGTCGCGCGAGCTGAAGAAACACGAAAGTCTCGCGCACGGAGGGCGTTATATCATCGTAGAACACGCTTTGCTCGGCCTCGGATGTTCGAAGCAGCTCAAACGCAAGCAACACTTCGCCGCAGTACAGCCCGTCGCTGAGCGGATCGTCTGAAGGCTCGTGCAGTCGCAACCAAAATGGTTCGCCATCGTAGATCGGCTTGACGCGCGTCGAAGGATAAAACGCACAACCAACGCATTCGTCGTAGCCCATGGTGTGCGCCGCGAACGCCGACACTTTTATGTTGCCTTTGTGCCGTTCGTACACCGCCATCGACACGACGGTTTCGAATGCTTCGAAATACCGTGGATGCATTGAGTTTAGCACTTTGTTTGTCGAAACTGCACAGTCGTTTAACTCCACCTTCACATAGAATGAGGAGACGGGCGATTCGCGGGTCGGTACCTCGGAGTCCTGACGCAAATTTGCGGCCTGGTGAATGAAGCAGCGAAACAGGTAGTCGGCGTTGTCCGCTGACAGCGCCTGCAGCTTTGCGATGCGGTTCTGCAGCCAGGTCGGAAAGTGCCGCGCTGTGTCTTCGCTGCAGTCTATTTTCAGTTGAAGTCTTTTGCCGTTTTCGTGATTGTTCAGCCTCTGCAGCTGAATAGTCCACGGCTTGAATAAATTATTCAGCAGATCTGCCGGCGAGCGGACTGCGTATTCATCGAGGTAGTCGTCTTTGTAGAGCAGAAAAATAGGGTTGAACAGACTTTCCACGCTGTCTAATTCGATGCTCAATGACTTTCGCTTGCGGCGCTTAAGCTCTGGGTCTGTGAAGTAGAGCTCCGTCTTGCCAAGGCACATGATTAGGCCGTGCTTTGTGTTTGCTTTAGCGCTGCGCTGCTCCAAATTGAGCACTTCTACTTCGAAGCAAAGCGCGACTGGACTGGGGCTCACTGCGCTGCTGAACCCGTAGACGGCCAAGCTGGTAATTTCAGTGTTTGTCTTCATCGACAAAGTGACGTAGATTCTTCCGCAGAACGACAACGCCGCCACAAAGTTGCTGGGAGTTTCA